GAAGGGCCTTCGGAGGCTAATGAGCCCAGCTTCCGTGTGAGTCATCTGTATGTGGCCTTTCACCTGTCAGAAAATAAAATTCAGATGATTTTCTAAACGATTTCTTTAGATTCTGTGGCATATCTTTTAACCCTTAAAATGACTGTCAGTTCCTTAAAAGCTTTTAGGACAGAGTCCTCTGGCTCCACGGTTGAAGTTAGGCTAGGGGCAGAGAGCTTTATACCCAGCGTCTCCCTGAGCCCTCTCCACCACCCGGCGGCACAGGTTCTGCTCTTTCTGCCTTTTTCAGAAGAGGAAAAGGAGGTTTGCAGCGTAGAAGCAATCGGTCTGGAGTCATCCAGCTGGCGAGTCCGTCTCTCAGTCACCTGGGTGGGGGGGGGGGGGGCTCTCTACATACACCTTTATGGCTACTGTCTTAGCAGCCCGGCCACACACTTCCCTGGTTTGGGATCACCGATCTGATAGGACTCAGTAAATCTCCTCGGCTTCTTACAGATGATAACCATGTGACTTCTTCTTCTTCTTCTTCTTCTTTAAAGATACGAACTTTAAAACAAAACACCTTTCTTTCATGTCTTTAAAACAACAAAAAAGTCTCTGACAGTTTTCTGATCCACAGCCTCGCTCACTCACTCCTGCCATGGGTGGAGGCCTAAAAGTAAGCACGAATAAATCCACTATCTGCTGCCGAACCGTGTGAGGACCCTACTTTGGCCGACTAATGACAATGGTTACCGTTTGCTGACTGCTGGCTTCACGAAGTGCTTTACGGGCATTTCCTTGATCAATCCCTATTCCTCTTCTCGAAGGTAGGGATTACTGTCGCCATTTTTCAGATGAGATGGTTGAGGCTTTAAAGTGAACAACCGGAGTAGGGGAAGGAGGTCTGGTCTAACCTCTGCCTCAGTCTGGAGGAAAGGGAAAACCACAAGCTGACTCTTTCTGAGCCTCAGTTTCCTCTTTTGAAAACAAGACCCTGAGGGACCTTTTTCAGCCGGGTCTCTGGATGTTTTTTTGAAAGTGTGGAGGCTCTTTTGATCTGCTCTTGAATTGAGTTCTGAATCGCTGCCACATACACAGACAGCTTTGGAATGCTGTCACCACGATAAAAACAGTGCTGAGTGCGAGTCCTTTGTCATTTCATCTGGTCCGTTTCCTCCAGTAGTAGATCCATCTTGAGCTTTTGAGAACACATCACACAAGAAGGAAAGACTATGAACTAGCAGCCTGGTGTCTGTAGGCCTGGCCTGTCTGACTGCAGCCATGGGACCGGCTCAGAAAGGAAAAACTTAGGAAAAACTCCTTTTCTGTGTGTGTCACTTTTCAGTCCTTGTGGTTCTTGCCATGTGCATTATCTCATGCATCTTTGTGACTACTCTGAGAGCTGGGTATTATTATTATTATTATTATTACTATTACTATTATTATTATTATTATCCACATCAGAACAGGCCTTTCAGGAGGAAGGTGACCTACCGAGATCACAGAACTTCTGTGTAGCAGAGCTAGAACTCAATCCAGCCAGGCCTTTGGACCCGTCTTTCCATGCCACCAACTCTGCATCTTACCCCCATGATCCTGAATTTTCAAATTACACCATGCATGGCCACCAGTTTTTAAAATGGTAGGAATATTAGCGGTGGATTCACCAAGAGGCTCTTTAACTGGGGGCAACATAGTGGGGTGATTAAGAGGGTGGGGTCCCCTATCAGAGACACCTGGATTTGTATCCTGGCCCTGCCATTTCTAACAGAACACTCTTTGACATGGGGCACTCTCAGGAGTGACCACATTGACTTGCCTGTGTTTGACTCTCACACTGCTGAGCCCCCACACCACGGCTGCCGTGGACAATTGGCCTAGAGTGGACTCTTTAGACCACTGAGGTGGTTAGGTTGTTCGTTCCCACAGCACAGCCCAGCTTAATCCTCTTTGCTACGAGTACCAGCCTCACAGGTTGTCGTGAGGGTTCCAGGAGAAATGTGTGTGAGAACTTGGCTTAGTGGCTAGTACGTGGCTCTTAGTGTGAGAAAAGAAATGCTATGTGCTCTCGCTACACAAGCATCTCCAAGATAGGAAAGTAACCAAGTCTTACATTCATGTTCTTTCCTGTGCCTCAGTGGTGAATTGCACAGTTTTCTATTTTATTTTATTTTTTTAAAGATTTATTTATTTACTTGAAAGAGAGAGAGAGAGAGCATGAGTAGTAGAAGAGGCAGAGGCAGAGGAAGAGGGAGAGAGAGAATCCTCAAGCAGACGCCCCACTGAGCATGGAGCCCCAGGCAGGGCTCGATCTCACAACCCGGAGATCATGACCTGAGCCAAAGTCAAGAGTCTGACGCTTAACCAACTGAGCCACCCAGGCACCCATATTTTCTGTTTTATATGAGAAAAATGACAGAGGTACTGAAAACACACGGGATGGTGGGATGCCTCATTCCTAGGGTGCATTGAGCCAGCCTCGGACTCTGGAACTGACCCAAATTGAGAGTGCAGATGGATTCTGAGCAGAGAGCTCCAAGTTCATGTAAATCGCAGGAGTTTAAGTACTGATGACACAGTCTTCCCACTGCCCAAGTTTTTAATACTTCAGCGTGAGCCAAAGCAGTGAACATTACAGTGCTCATTGGTTTTTAGTGGGAAATTCTAGTATTATAAACTTGTTTTAAGACTCCAGAGAGAGCCAAATCGTAGTTGCATATACTTGGGAGGAAGCCAGATTTTATTACAAAGGTGGCAGAATCAATCTAGAAAGACTTTTAAAAACATTCAGTCAGCCATCCCACCACTTAACTCCGCAAGATGTTTTCGCTGGGCGGCTAACAAGTAGCCACGTTGCTATTGTTTGCTGGGCAATTCTGAGCAGACAGGATTCATGCCTTTGCTAACAAGAAACAACTACAATAATCCACGCAGGTGAAGAAAACCTTCAGGTGTTGCTGATTTTCTAACTACATTTTTTTATTACACTCGAATTCATTCAAGAACCTATGGTAAGAGACAAGAGGTACGAAATGTGTGTTCATGTTTTGCTTGGACAGGTTTTGGCTCCTAGCAATTAATGCTTTTGGTCACATTAAGCATATAAATAATGCTTTGTGACATTACAGTATTTCCCATTACAGATCAATTTTGTAGCATTTGTCCATAATCCAACTTGAAATGTTACCTAGAAACAAAATATGTTTTCCTTGAAACAGTCAGACCCTATTAGAAATCTAAGGCTTTACAAATCACCATGTTAACAGTTATGTCCCCTAGCTAAGGTTTTCTTTCTTTAAATAGTGTTAAATTCAGCCCCAGAAGCACTAGTCTCCGTGAGGGTTCTCTTCTTATGTGCACTGACTTGAAAGGAGAAATTTAATGCTCAAAATATATTTAACATCTTACAGTGCATAACTTAATAAATCAACCAGCATTCCCTTTTGGGGTAAAAATAATGTTAGCACCTTTTACAAGTGTTATGCTTCTAATTAGGTTACAAGATACTATTTTCTCATTTTTCAAAAGGCAGGTTTTCATTGCCAAAAAAAAGGTGTCAGCCTCTTTCTGGGTAAGAGGACTTATTCTCATTCCCTGACCATAGAATCATATACCATGGGTGAGCCAAGAAATAAAGGGAACATGTATCAGCTCTGAAGGTTGGAGCCATAAAACTTAGTGCTACCTGGTGGAGATTTGGGGCCAGGAGCACCTGGATTTGATTCCAGCCCTGCCATTTAATCACTGTGGAGTCCAGCAAATTACCTAACTTCCCATTCAGCAAATGTGAACTATTTTTAAATTATTTACACACTTTCTCCCCCCCCGAAGAACATTCTCTTTGATAAAAGCTAACAACCTCTCATCCATTCAGCGGGTAATTACGCAGTACCTATTATAGACCAGGCTCTCCTGCTCTAGGTCCTGGGCAACAGCAGTAGATAAGACAGACCAGACCATTGCTCTCACGTTGCAGCTTGGGGAAGATGGACCGTGTACGAACAAGAACACATCAAATGATGCAGTTGGCTGCAGGTGGCCCCTCAAAAGATAGGTCTACCTCCTAACCCCTGGAACCTGTGAATGTGACCTTACTTGGAAAAATAGTCCTTGCTGATTTAAGTAAGGATCTTGAGTTGAGATCATCCTGGATTATCAAGGTGGGCCCTAAATCCAATGACAAGTGTCCTTATAATTCACACAGAGGAGACAGAGAAAGGAAGAAAAGGCCATAAGATGGAGGCTGAGAGTAGAGTGATGAGCCACAGCCAAAGAGCACCTGGGGCCAGCAGGATCTGGAAGCAGCAAGGAACGATCCTGCCCTAAAGGCTCTGAGGGAGCGAGGCCCTGCCAACACCTTTATTTCAGACTCTGGCCTCGAGAACTGTGAAAGACTAAGTTTCTATTGTTGTAAGCCTCCCTCTTTGTGGTAATTTGTACATCAACCCTGGAAAACAATGGCTTAAATGGCAATGTGTACCAAGAAGAGAATAAAACGGGGAAATGAGACAAAATATAAACAGGGACTCAAATGGGACCACCACACATGATGAGAGCGTGGGAGGCCCCATTGTGGAGGTACCATCTGAGGTCCCCGAGGACGTGGGAGATGGGTGTTCTGAATCTGAGGGGCAGCAAGTGCAAAGGGCCCAACCTGGGAATGAACGTGGTGTGTTGGAGGACCAGAAAGTCAGTGGGGCTGGCTCTGGGAAGTGGTGGGGTCAGTGGTAGGGAGATGCTGATGCAGGAAGGCACCAGACCCTGTAGGGCCTTGTAGGCCTTGAAACCCATCTGAGAGAGACTTACAATGACTTGAAGATGCCCTTCCTAGCAGAGAAAGAAGTTCTGCCTTTGTTACACAGGTAAATGTGAGCATATTCTAAACATTCTAGTAATCAGATTAAAAGCCCAGAGCCTTTATCATCTTACTCACGTAATCCCATCCCACTGTTAATTCTGTATGAACAAGAATGTCACAAAGAGTGCGTGTGAGGTCAAACACCACAGGACACAGTAGAAAATCCTCAGTGGGATCCTTTATTTTGTTCACTATTTAAGGTGAAATTTCAGCCTGTAAGAGATGTTTCTCCCAGTTCAGCCAATGGCTTGTAACATCACCTTGTCCGAATTCCCCGGTGCAGCAGTCCCCAGGGTCACAGCTTCCCCGGGACCAGCCAGAGTGGGTTTCAGAGAACTCCACAACGCCGGCCTCCCCAGGGTCCCACCTCCTCATTCCTGTCGGCGATCAGTGAGGAAATGAAGTGTATTCCTGTTCACTTTTCAAATCTCAGACCTACCTCATTTACATGTCAAGAAAATGTTCTCAAGTATAATAAAGTGTTTATCATTTTCCTAGAGGTCTTCGAATGAATGCCTGACATTCCTTTCTTCCCTATCTCTAAAGTTCCTTTCTTTTTCACATTATCTTTCTTGATTGCTTCTTACTGTAAAAACAAAAAAACACAAAGATACGGATTTGTTGTGCACATTAGCAGGTCCATACAGAAAAATGCACAGAGGTTTTATATACCATCAGTGATAGCTCAGAGTATAAAGTCAAGAAGGAAGAATCTGGAGTATTAGACGTGCTCTGAAATAAGCCTACATAGGAGGATACCACTGTAGCTTCATCAGACGTTTCTCTCACCAACTATTCAACAGTGGCAGATCTAGAAAATGTGCAGTTAAAATACACAGCAGTCGCTCCATACACTGACCCCCAACTTCTGAATATAGGGCTCTTCCCTATTTTCTTCCCCTTTCGTTTATGTTTAATGGAGAAAGCTAAAAAAAATCTTGTTTTAGCAAGTATCCCTGTAGAGTGTCGCGACTGACCAAGATTTTAATGTGTTTGGAGAGAAGTCTTCCTGAAACAAGAGCGATGACTATTTTCCTGTGAATAGGGAGTGACAATTTTAACCCCAATCTGAGGTTAGAAACTTGCTTTTTGGGGGGCCCACAACTGCTGTAGACGAGACAACTGTAGCAACCATCCAAGACAATGAAAGAGAGCCTATGACAGTCTGCTGTATGCTTTATGCGGAGGAGGTATCAGAGTTCATCATGGTTTTTTGTGAGATCTTCCCCGTAATTGGTGGCCTGGCTTCCGACAAACATGTTCCAGTTCTCCAGTATCTCCTCTTTAGTTAGCTTTTCATCCTGCAAGAGAGGAAAAGACCTCTGTCACAGAAGTTCTGGTAACTCTGAGGAACAGTTCAGCGTGAAGCTCCCATTAATTTCATGGATTTTCAACATTTAAAATAGTGCATGTCATAATTAAGAAGTTGCTAGGCACCTCCTTCACCCACCATCACTGCCCTGCAAAAACCAAACCGCAACAGCCTCCTGCCTTAAAAGCTGCGCTAAAATATATCAGGCAAGGCCTCAAGGAATTCTGAAGCTAGAATCCAGTCATGTCCACAAGCAGTGCTAGCTTTCCCAAAACAGGCCCCAAAGAATTCCACTCCCCCTTTATGGCTTGACTGCAGAACTCCCCTATCTCCCGAGAATGTGCAGCAGTGATCAAACTGGGAAAAGGCAGGGCTTCTTTCTAAATCTTATTTATTTATTTGGATATTTATCAAAAGATACTGAAGCGCTGGGCATCCGAGCCCTTGCAGGACGAGCTTGCTTCAGGCTGCCTGGCATGTCAAGGGATGGGCATCCCTGTGCCTGACACATTAGAGATGTCTGATAAATATCTGCTGACTGACTGAATGAATGAATGAACAAACCTGTCCTTGGGCAACTCAGGGTATACCTTAGAAATCCAGGCCCGGCCCACAGCAAACAAAGTTACCGTTTCTGCAATCCTCAGAGATGGGAGGGAATTAAGTGTGTGGCCCTTAGCGGACTATCTGGGAATGTCTGGGCCTCTAATGAGTTCACCGTGGGTTATCACGGTATTGGCTTAATTAAGTTCACAAGTCTCTAAGGTAGGGCAAGAATGAGAGAAATCAATAAGGATGCGGCCGCATGGGCCAATGCTATCACCAAAAAAGCAAACAGAACCAATCTTATGTAAACTGTCTCCCTTCAAAGAACGATTCCTGGAGAACGTGAAATACCTTGTTTTTGTCTGACTCATATACCAGGTGCCTGGCCTCGGCCTGAGCATGGTCGTAGTCTTGAGGGAGGATCCAGTGGCGAATCTCATCTTTGTCCAACTTCCCATCCTTGTTGAGATCCCGGAACTCATTGAATTGCTCCCGTTCTGACAAAACCCAGTCTGGCTCAGGGCCGTTCTCCTCATGGGAAAACATATCCGCTAGAAGGAAAGGTGGTTCTTGGTTATGAAGAGAAGCGGGAAGGTAAGTCAAGGAAAACCTGACCTCCTGAGTTTTTGGAAAGATGATAGCCCATCAGGAGCCCTAACCCAGATGTCTGGTGGGCAGTTTCTGGAGGATAATGATGCGGTCATTTAGCCACTGTGCAGGCCACCTCGTGGAATAGAAAGAACGGAGCTCAGGAGCCAGAAGGTGAATCCTGGCTCGTGACTTAGTTCAGTGACGGGGATTATGTTACTTAATTCAGTGAGTAAGTCTTAAGTTGTCTTGTCTGTAACATGGAGGTAATAATTTACAAATCACAGACTTATTATGAACATGAAAGAGGATACTTTCTGTGAAAAACACTCTACAACCCAAACTGGCACTATATAGAAGGTGAAAAACCAGTAATAAGGACCAACATCAAGCACTTCCTATAGTCCAGCTATTATATATAAGATACTTCACACACTTTTTTTTGTTCTAACTTTCATAATAATCCTAGAAGTAGGTACTGTTAGTATTCCCATTTTATAGATGAAAACATTGAGGCATAGCCTTAACCCAAGGACCCACAGCTAGTATGAGCTTGAGGCTACATGGGATCAGGGTCACTCTGCTTCTACCCCTGGTCTTAACCACTTATTCCTATTGTTGTTTGTATCCTCTCCAAAGGGCTTCCCCTTAAATCATTTTATTTCATCCTCATAACAATTCTGTAAGATGAATCATTATCCTTATTTTATGAAATGACCAGGAAGGGCAAAGAAGGTGAAGTTTAGGTGCACTGTTTGCTAAGTCACTAGATCTCCTTGGAAAAGACAAATACCCTGTGGGCAGTTTTCTCTTTAATGGAAACACAGCTTGGAAATGCCAGGTGGTAGAGAGAGCGGGTAGTGAATGAAGGCAACAGAGAGACAAGACCCTTGGTTCCGCCCCAAGGCAGAGCCACACCTGACACTTGCAGACTGTTTTTGAGCCAGGGCTGTCACATTTATTAGCTAACTTGGGCTTCACTGAATCCCACAAGCGTGCATGCTGTGTATTCCCATTTTCCAGATGAGGAAACTGAGGCTTATCATGATGACATGACTCCCACAGGGTCCCACAGCTAATAACTGGAGAAGCCAGGACTCCCAAGTCCAGTGCTCTTCCCACCGCACCATATCACCACCAGTTTTCCGTTCACTCCCAGCAGAAAAGAAGGCTCCTCCACCAATGAAGTCACTTGCTGGGCAAGTCCACACGCTGGGCCTCTCTGACTACGAGCCGCTCAGAATTGTATTTTCAAGCACCATGCCCCCACGCCTCCCTCCCTCCCCACTGTAAAGAACGGAGTGTTTCTTTTAGGCAAAGCCATTGACTTTGCACCGTTTGAATGCAGAGTTCAGGAGGGCCAGGAAGAGCACACACTTTTAATCAAAAGTGCTACATTGCTTGTTTCAATCCGTCAGCCTTTTCTGTCTAATTCTATCAGCACCATCAAGGCGAAGCGTCCGCAGCTCTGAACCGTCCCTCACATGCACCCTGGGCACGGGGAAGGCTCTGCGGCTTGCACCGACAAGGGGCCTGTCAGCATGTTATTCTCCGAAGGTAGTGCCACCGAGATCACTTTAATTACCATGGTGAGAGCTACCTGTCGGTTACCACACCACCCGAGGACAGCGCTCGGGCCTTCAGATCAAATAGCATTTCTCCTGATTAGAAGAAACTTTGCTCTTCATTACCGAAGGCATGTGTTCTCGTGCACGGGGTGGCAAAGTAACGCGACCACAGACCAGAGACCGAGGGCGACGTGCACTTCGGTTTTACGCTGAAAGGTAATAAACTGCCTCTATTAACTATGGGTACGAAAATTATATGCATCCCATCCCTCAAATGACTTCCCAGCTTTTACTTTGACACTTGGGAGCAGAAGAGCTGCCAGGAGAAGGCACCTGCTGTTGGAAGCCTTGTACCGGGGCACCCAAGTGACCGCGGTGAGGGTCAGATGGAAATGTCCAAGGGGCCTGCCCCAGCCCTTTATGCTGGGAGGCCTACTGGGCTGCTCGGAAGGGCTCTAACCCGCAAGGTGGCTTCTGACCCAGCTGCATGAGTTTGACTCCATCAGTGCCTGATACCTGATAAACACACCTCTTGATGCTTAAGTGGAGCCCGTCAGAACAAAATGTGAGCTGTGGTACTCCCGACGAAAGCATCAGAAAGCAGAGGCACACAATGGCTAACCATGGGCGGCTGGGCCCAGGTGACGAGGAGTCACCTCTCTAAGAAGGAGGGCCTTTCTGCAGATGCCTGGGCATATAAACTGTCACATCCATCACATCTCCATCTGCTCAGTGCTTTGAGGCCCCACGGACTCACCGTCTGACTTTGGGGTCTTTCCCCGGACCCAGTCTGCTCTGGCCTCACTGGAAATCTGTGGGATTTCCACGCCTATTTTGCAAAGGTAAAACTAGACAGTGGGGTGGGGGGCAGCTCTCAGAGCCATGGGGCCCACTGCTGGCCACTGCGTGACGTTTCCTAAGTGCCTCCCACATACTGGCCCCTGGGGCTGGTGTGACAAGTCCCTCCCCAGTAGGAGGACACAGGAGTGACAACTCCAGACTTGCAGCCATTGCTAAAAGAGATGTCTGCGGAAAGGAGCTCGACATGTGGGTGGAGGAATGTTGCCCCGTTGGGACAGCCGAGCAAGACTTCAGGTCACACTCACCAATATACTCGTCTTGATCCACAAACCCATCCCCATTCTTGTCGATGTCCTCCAGGGTTTCCTAGGAAGCAAAGGGGAACAGAGGAGGGAAGATGGCAATGTGCTCTAAGTAAATCTGAGAATTCTACCTATTGTCCTCCTTGGTCTGGCTTTTATGGCTAAAAATGCTTGGAAGCTTTTGGCTCGCCTCGTTACCTCCCTGGGCATGAGTTTCTTATCTGTAAAAACTAGGCACTGGCTTCTGTTCCTCCTTCCCCTTCCCCAATTTTAAGAGCAGAACACTCTCTTCAAATGCAAATGTAAGTAAAAGCCCACAGGGACTCGGATTTTTATCAAGAAGCCCTGCCAGGCCAACCATCTCCACCATCCAGCCAGATGATCCCCTGGGGTACTTGTGAGGAACCCAGCTTGAGAACCACTGGACGGGGTAATCACAAAAAACAGATTCCAGGGCTGAGTGGATGATGAACACTAAGCGGGTGTCATGGAAATATGAAACAATGGGCAATTAAAAAGGAAAAGTATATCAGACTTTTGGACGTATATGTTCTGCACTTAGTGCACTTGACTTCTTAATTAGGTTTATTGCTTGGGTGAGTAATTAAATGAATTTACTTTGTCACAGCAACTCAGAGCCATCCTGGGCTGAAGCAAACAGCTGACCCGAGAGCACAGAGCCGATCCAGAGGCACGTAACGCACTTGTGGACAATTCCCACATCTTCATCGTCCTCTAGCAAAGTAGCTATCACTACGTGGATGGTGGGTGGTAGAATGAAATGATTCTTAGAGCCACTGCCCAGTCCTCAGTGTCACGGTGATCACGAGAGTGAATCATGAGGCAAGAGTGGACCCCATCCACCAACTGGGCAACTAAAATAGTCCAGAGCTGATTATGAACAAAAACTTCAGCTACTGGTTCCCAGCATCGAAGCAGTTAGAACTGGCCTGGGGCACCTGCCCAGGAAATAAATGATGGCATTTATTTTACTGTCATGGAAAATGAAGATGTTTGGGATTCCCCCCCCCCCCCCCCCCCCCCAGACACTATGGAAAGCACAGCCATCCCTCAGCGCCTCGGCTGGACCCATGCATCCTCCCAAGCCCCCCTCCTAAGAGGAGTGTCCTTCCTGCCAGTTTTAATCGAAATCCCCCTATGGTTTAACAATCACGAATTACCTAAACTGTATTTCCCTGCCTTGTCCTATCTAGAAGGAGCCTGTGGAAGGTAAAAGGGAGGGATGATTCATTTCTTGGCCAGAAGTATAATGGCAGACTGTTGCCTTCTCTTCATTCCCTTTCTTTTCCTTTGTGTCTCCCAGCTGGTTGTTCCAGGATGACCTGGAAGCCACAAGATGGTAGAGTACAATGTGGAAGGCACCTGGGTACCTGACAGTACTTAGACAAGTGCCCAGAAGGCCCACCTGACTCAAACCATCTACACTGGACTTGGTAGAAGCAAAAATAAGCTTCGTTTTCCATGGCTGGCACTGGGGCTGCTTGTTACAGCAGCTAGCCTGCCCTGACTAATCTATCGGGTGGACAAGTATTCCCAACGTATTCCCCTGCAGAGTTCTTCTCCAATTCCCGTCAAGCTGACGAATGCTCTCTCTTTGGAAGAAGGGACAAGACTGTGGTACAGATTTCGCTCTGGTCTTTTCCCAGCTCAGGCTCTTTTAATGACCTTACCAAAACCACAATTTCCTTCATATGCTCAAACTCCTCAGGGTGCAGAAAGGCGGTGAACTCCTCCCGGGTAGCTGTCTGGTCACCATTGAGGTCTGCGGCCTTGAACCTTCTCTCGTCGCGTGGCAGCATCTTTTTAAAGGTGTGATGATCCGAAGTATCCTGAAACTCTGTGGGGTTTCCTGCAGGATGTGTGCAGAAGTGTTTGAACTGGGCTGCTACGGGAAGCATTTCCTTCCAGATCACTCATCCTTCATGCCCAAATGGGACACGCGGGGCAAAAGGTCCCGAGCCATGGGGTTCTTTGAAACGTTTCAGAATGCCTTTAGTACCTGTCCCTTCATCTCCCCACCTCCCCCATAATCCAGGCCCTACCTAACAGCTTATTGGGGGCATTATAGCAAATGGTTAAGAGTGCTGGCTTTAGGCCATATGGTCATACTTTTCTTTGCAGAATGCTGCTTTCATCATATTATTCTTTGATCTAGAACATACACAGGCTCCCCAGTACCCATGATATTCCAAACGTTTCTGTCTGGCTTTTACGATCTCCCTTAACCTAGCCATGAGTGTGTGCATCTCTGGCTCTCTCTCCCATGCACCCAGTGGGGCTGCACCCTGTGCTTCGCATGCATCCCTCTATCACTCCTCACAAACAAGCCTGTCTTCTATTTAAACCCTGTCCACTTCTGAATGCACTCCTACCCCTTTGCTTCTCCAGCTGACCCACCTTCTCCTCTTATTTCTCCCTCTCCAAAGATATATCCATTTTTCAAAGCCCAGCCCCCAGACCACCCTCCACCAGGAAGCCTTCCTTGATGGCTCCAGCCCACTCGGGTCTTTGCTATCTGAAACCCGGCAGCATTTTGAAACCGTGCCACAGACACACTTCATCTCTGCTCTGTTCTCTTTGTTCTTTGTGCCTCCAAGATTGTAAGCTCAGATTGGGCAGCAACCTAAGTCACATCTCACGACCCCGAGATGATGACCCGAGCCCAAATCAAGAATCGGATGCTTAACCGACTGAACCACCCAGGACCGTGGACCCCTCCCACTAGTCACCACCTACAGCTTCACTCAGAGTAAGCGACTCTGTACTTTCTTAGTAAGCAGAGGAGGATGTTACACAAACAGGTTCTACTTAGGGGGTTGTGACATCTCCCCGAGGCAGTAGATGTGTCAAGAGAAAAGAGAGGCTTTGTTATGAGACCGCCAGCTGTGCAAGCACTCCAGCAGCACCTCTTACCTAGGTAGTAACCATAGGTGGCTTGTTTGTATTCTTCCCAGGAAATTTTATCATCTTTGTCCCGATCATAATCCTTCCAGACTTTGGCAACATTATCGTAGATGTATCTTTTCTGCACTCGCTTGATCCAGGTTTTCAGCTCCTCGGTGGTAACAAAGCTGTCCCCATCACTGTCAATTCGATCAACAATCCTCCTGTAGTTAAAAATACAAAACAAAACACCAAACCCACAAGGCTATTATCAAGACTTGTGTGATCCTGATCCAGAAAAAGATCAAACACCGCAGAAACTAAAATGCATAAACAATTGAAATGAAATCAATGATCCGATCATGCGGACATGACCAACTGATCAGAGCTGATTTGTAAGATGAAACCTAGCAGTCTTCTCTAGGTGCAGTCCGACTCCCTCGTTTTAGAGTGATGGCACCGAGGCTGAGGAAAATGAAATGACTTTTCTGAGGTCACACAGCTCATATGTGCTACGACCAGGGTAAGAGATCACACAGCT